GAGAACGAAGATTCATAACCTTAACAATCTATGTCGACTGGTCAATTCATTTTCCTTCTAGGGTATTTACTGTTTAATACCACAAATTCTTGTTCATAGATCATCTTCAGAATCATCGCTGAATAGATATTCCAATGGTCTTTATTTCATTTCCAAGGTTCCACTATATCATGAAATACTGACGTGCTTGATTTGTAGTTCATGTTCCATAAGGGCGACACATCATGTAAATTCATCCGAATTTCCAGGCTTAACCTAATCACTTACTTAATCCTCAATCATTGAAGTTACTTAGTTCATTTAGCATCCAAGTCCCTTCCAGTTACTTCGGGATTTTCCAGAGTAATACAACGTTCATGTATTTCAGATATATATTGTACTTCAGATCCATTCAATTTGGTTTTCTTGGTTGATTTGTCGAACAAACGTCCAATTCTTAATACTGAATGCGATCTAGAATTGAGCTGAGCAGAATGCTTCCAAAATTATCATCGAGCTAAACTTAAGAAGACGAACACGCATTCAAATAATATCTATGCCGTTCAGGTACTGACATATCATTAAAGTTGATCGGCTTACTTAAGCTGTGTTCCATAACTTTTTAAAGGTAGTCCAATACCTATGGTTATTTGGATTCCTTAATTAATCCAAGGCATTTACTTAGAATAGGATATAAGGGTATTTTGGTAATTTTGGTGTTTATTTTTATTTCACTTATTTCAGAGCTCGAAGATATCCAATCATTCTTGAGCTTGGTGGTATTCTTGGGTCATTTCCACTACAGGGGTATTTTGGTCATTTTACAACAGTGTATTTCAATCATTTCCTTCCGTCCGATCTTACTATTAAATTCAATTTTATCATTTATTTCAGTCCTTTCAAACAATTCTGACAACAGAACACCCCCGACAAATTGTTCTTCATGTATTTACTCATAACTCGGATATTTCCGGGTCAAGTGCCTTCTCAGATTTTACAAACGGAATATCAGGAATTTTCCTACACTAAGTCAGGATCTTAACAATCAAATCCGTACTTAATCGAGTTAAGTACAAATCCTCAAAGTATTTTCTCATTCAGGGTCAACTCAGACTATTTTACCTTTCAAGGGCATTTTCGTAATTTCTTAACCAGATAATTTCGATATTAGCTCTTAAAGAAAATAATATAATTTAGAGATCCTATGATTAATTGCTTTCTTGAATACTCTCTGATCTTGAAACGGTTCTCTTAACAAACTTCTAGTATCCTTCACAAACTCTCATAGGATTAAAACCGGTTATCCATAATTTCCAAATAAAACTAACATTTCTTATACACATCAATATTTTTATCAGATCAATATGTCTGTAAAATCCTCTTATCTAACTTCCATACTTAAATCTTGTCTTTTTATAACATAAGAGTATTTTCATAATTTTACCCTACCGGAGTATTCTCATAATTTCTCATCCAAATACCTTTAACATTTTAACCTTTGATGAAATAAATTATAAGTTGCAGATACATGGCTGATTTCTTTGTCACTAATTACAACCTTGTAGTTTAATCTAACAATTCCTCAATTCTTTATATTAGTCATTCGATCCGTAATTAGTTACAGAATTTCTATCACATCATATCGAGTGTATAAATTATTCAACTCCACCAAAGTGACCAACATTATCTTGTTCATGCATTTATCAATATAAACATGTTCCATAAAGCATAAAGAGGTAGTAAAGTATTACCTCGATTTTCGTGTCATACTGATCAACCATAAAAATTCTCTTCGAACGCCATCGATCTTAAAATCAACTTCCAATATTTTCCTCACGATCCAAGCCATCAAAATTACTAACTCGTATCCAAATAATTTCCCTCGTCATAAAGATAACTTATTAGAATTTAAATAATAATTTGGAAACCCAAATTTGCATAACTAAAAACTTGAAGAGCCAGTAATATTTAATTACTAACATCATGGACAAAATTGATCTTATTTAAACCATTATATCATAATAATAATAATAATAATACGGAAGCTAAAAGACAAGGTTAAGTTTTTACCAAACTTGGATGACTAACCTAGTAATTTTGCCCTTCTCATTTTATCACAATTTCCGTAACTTGATATACCCATTTTTTTTTTCTGCTGAAGAATTCTCCTCCATGGTCCTGTCGAAGATGAAAGAGATTGCTGAGGCTTATCTTGGGTCAAATATTAAAAACGTCGTCGTTATTGTTCCGGCTTACGCACGACTTTGGTGCTGCTCGTGAAATCGACGAGCTCGGCTCGATGATTGCTTAACAGCTCGGACCCTCTCTCGACCACTAACTGAAGGTTCACTTTGGTGTTTTTATCGATGTTAAAGCCAATATTAGCTTCCTCCTTTGATGCAGCAAGCATCCATTGCTATTGCTATCTGCAGTTGGAATTTGTGCTTGCTGGAACTTAAAAGTTTGAGGGTAATCAAAAACTAGAACTAAGTTTTCTTTCGTGCTGCAACCATGGAAGTTGACAACTTTTAAATCTCTATTTCCCCAACAATTGATTCGATGAAAAGCTCCACAGAAACCTGGTAGAGGCACGAGAGATAGGGACGCACGAGTCAACGATCTCAACGGCCAATAACAAGTCCTGCCGATTACCAGTCACCTCGTAAGATCTCCAGCAAGTAAAAGTTGTCCCCAGCAGCCCCGTATACACAGTCGGGTCTATTCCCATACCCGACCCTCCACCATTTCCACCTTCTCCCCACGTTACCTGGTTCTTGAGAGTGGTGGCAGTTTTGAGGAAAGTATCAGCAGACAATGAGAAGCTGTTAGAAAGCGTTGGATCCACATTCAGCAAATGATCTAACCGTTCATTTTTTTCCCTCTTCATTGCTTTCTTTAAAAGCAGCAAACTCCATTACAGAAGACATTGAAGTCTGGCTTTTGAAACTTTGGTGTGAAGTCTGAAAATTTTTCTACAATTATTGAAATAGATAATATAAAATATGGTTGGTGGAGGTTGAGGTGCAGACTAGCGTGGGGTAGTTGAGGATAATACAAAATTTTAATTGATACATTAAACCCCATATTCAACTAAAAAAATTAATCTCACAAATTGGGGTGTGACATGATGAGTTTTAAATTTTCTGTCTAAACATACATTTATAAAATTCTAAAAGCCTTAATAAAAATTCTCATCAAGGTTCATCGCCCAACTATAGTCTGAAGATTAAAATTAAAAAAAATAGAAATCTTCGTTTGATATAATATATAGTTTTATACGTGCAATTAGAAATTTCTAAAATTTTATACATATTAGATTTTATCATATTCAATATGTGGATAAAAAATATTTTATATAGAAATGTATATTTATAACAAATTTATCTAATAAATGATTATAGATAGGATGATAAAATATTTGTAGATAAATCCATTCAAATTTTAAAAGAAAATTATTTCTTCAGACATAATAAAAATACATTTTTTTCATAAGTGAGATGATAATAACATTAGATTTCCTTATTTTTGCAGTTTTTTTATATATAATTAATAACATCTGATAAAATATATAATCTTATCTGATGGTCTTAAATAAAATAATATTTCAATTTATTTAAAACAATGAATTTAATTATTTTATTTAAAAAATAAAAAATAAAGAATAGATATTCAGCTTTCACAAAATTTAAAAATAATAACTAGAAAGTTTTATTAATCGTGTAAATGAGAAGGAGAAGAACGCCCCACAAATGAGTACTCAGTGCGCCAGTCACTGTTGAATCACGTGGTAGGTGGGCCCAATAGTGACTCGCCCCTATGCCCCTAGTACAAATAGGGTAGCTTGGACACTTCCACTCGGCCAGAAGCCACGTACACCAAAACTTAAGGCTCTGTTTGGATGCCTCACTCTAAAATATTTTAAAAAAAAGATAAAAATTATTTTTGAACTTTTATCAATCAATAAAATTATTTATTCTTAATTTATATCATCATTTTTATAATTTAAAAAAAACATATAAATATATATTTTATTTATTTAAAGTTAAATAAATTGTATGTTTAATATCTCAACTACATATATTTTCTTAAGTTGATAATTAAAGAATTTTTACTCTTAAGTTAATACTTCAATTTGTTTTCTATTAGGTTATGACAACTTAAGATTAGGAGTGAGCAAAATTTGATTTGATTCGAAAAATTAATCTTTTCAATTCTATTAAAAAAATTCAATTTGAATTGACTTCGAGTTCTAATTTCATAAACTCGATTCGTCTCGGAAAAAAATTAAATTCAAGTTGAGTTATAAAATATAACTCGAAATTTTTAGTAATTAATATGTTGATTTTTAAACTTGAGTCAAATCCCTCGACTCTATATGATATATGTATATCACATAAATAAATAAATATATATATGTATTGTATATGGTTACAAAAACCCGTTTAAATTGGAATCAAATAATATCATATTATTATAAATATTTATAATTAAATTTAAATAGAAACTTGAAAAATTCAACTCGACTCAAATTTTATAAATTTATCTCAACTCGAAAAAAATTTAAGTTAAATTTGAGTTATAAGATAAAACACGTCAACTTGAATAACTTAATTTTTTAACTTTACTAGACTCAACTTAATCGAATACTCAACCCTACCTAAGGTTTTATTAGGTTTAATGATAATGATATCATATATATTTAAAAACTTAAAATTTATTAAAACTATTAAAAAATAGATAAAATTGAAGTTGAGTTAACAATTTTTTTAAAAAAAAATTAAATGTTAACCTACAAAATACATAATTCAAATAAAAATTAAAAAAAATTGAATATAAAATATATATTTAAATCTTTAAAATATTTTCCAACAATTATATTACACGTTTAAATTCTAAATCAAATAATTTAAAAACATTTTTTTAAAAATATTTTGTTCATCATACTTTTTTAAAAACAATAGATAACATACCCTACCTGGCTATATATATACATACAAACAATACGCCATTTTCTCCCTCTATATAGTGAAAATTAATAAGCCAAAGGCAAAACTCAACCAAGCTCTCAGCTACGCCAGTCCTCACGTTATCTTCTATTTTTCTGTCTGTCTGCCATGGAAGAGCTTATAATCTCTCCATCTTCATCTTCTTCATTAGTTTCCTTTTCACAAAAAACCCCACCTTCAACTTTCCAGCAGAGGCTCCAACATGTATTAGAAAGGCAGCCGGATTGGTGGGCGTACGTTATTTTTTGGAAGACGTCGAACGATGACCAGGGTCGCCTGTACTTGTCTTGGGGAGACGGTCATTTTCAGGGCACCAAACATACGTCCCCAAAGTTTCGTGCCAACAGTTCCGACATTCAGGGCTTGCACAATGAACGAAGGAAGGTGATGAAGGGAATCCAAGCCCTCGTCGGAGACAATCACGACATCGATATGTCGATGATCGACGGCCCTGATATCAGCGATGCTGAATGGTTCTACATGTTATCTTTGACTCGAAGTTTCTCCGCCGGCGATGGGATCCCGGGCAAGTCTCTCACTACTGGCTCTTTGGTGTGGTTAACCGGTGCACATGAGTTGCAGTTTTACAATTGCGAAAGGGCTAAAGAAGCACAATTGCACGGTATTGAAACACTGGTCTGCATACCAACATCTGGTGGCGTTCTTGAACTCGGCTCCTCGGAAATTATCAGGGAAAATTGGGGATTAGTCCAACAAGTGAAGTACTTATTGGAGTCGGATCCCATCGATATGCTACCAAAACAATCAAATCCAATCGAATTCCTTGATAGAAGCATCTCATTTTCCGGCATCGGCGTAATCGCCGGTGTTCAAGAAGACCACAACAACGTCACCAAGAAAGATTTTACAAGATCCGGTGAATTGTCCTTTGTCAACTCAGAGCATTCGGATTCCGATTGTCCACTGCTTCCATTGAACAACACAGAGAAGAGAATCCCAAAGAAACGTGGAAGAAAACCAGGTTCCGGACGAGAGACAATGTTGAACCACGTCGAAGCCGAAAGGCAACGCCGTGAGAAGCTGAACCACAGGTTCTATGCACTCCGAGCCGTTGTCCCGAACGTGTCCCGCATGGACAAAGCATCCCTCTTGTCCGACGCAGTTTCATATATCAACGAGCTGAAGTCCAAGATCGAAGACCTCGAATCGGAGCTTCGTAGAGTGTGTAAGAGAGTGAAGGCAGAAACAATCGATGTCATGGATAACCAAAGCACAACCACCACCACCTCGGTGGAGCAGATAACAACAACAGCCCAACCCAGCAATTCATCATCAGCAACAGCAACCGATGGGTCTAGTGAAGTCGAACTAGACATCAAGATAATCGGAAATGATGCAATGATCAGGGTCCAATCGGAGAACGTGAACTATCCGTCGGCAAGGTTAATGGATGCCCTTCGTGAGTTGGAGTTTCAGGTCCATCATGCAAGCATATCCTGCGTTAACGACATCGTGCTCCAGGATATCGTCGTCAAGCTCCCTCATACACTCAAAACTCATGAACAGGGCCTCAAATCTGCACTTCTAAGGAAACTTCAGCAGTAAAGTTCACTTTTTTTTTTTATTGATTCTGTATTTTACTTCATCGGATTTGCCTTTGAGCTTGAACTCTGCTTGTCATGTAAATTATTAAGAAGATAAATTCAAGCAGCTATCTTATTATTATCTCATTTTATTTTTGTAGTTCATCTGCTTTCTTCCATCTGAATTTCTTCAGGGTTTTCTTATGAGTCTGTATCAAGCTTGACCTTGAAAGGAAACCAAACTTTAATTATGGTCGGACCTACTATAAATTTAGTTTTCTATAAAATAATAAGACACCTGCACGTTTTATACATGAACCACTAATATAACATTATTTGTACTATAATTTATAAAAGGGCAGCTCTTTTTTTTTTAACTTTTGGGGTGGTTACTTTTCTATGTCAAGCAACCTTCATCTATTGGATATTCACACTGACCCTCACATCACATAATGATTTATTCATTTTAGGGAAGTATATGTTTTACCAATTTTTTTGCATGTTCAGAAAACCGGTTATGTCCCCAAATTTTATGCACAAATTTAAGGATTAAATTTTGTCAAAAAGAAGTTTATGGAGCAAAAGTATTAAAAATCCCAAAAACAATTAATAGATGGATTATATACAGTTTTATGTATTTTTATGTAATTAAAGTAATAATATATGATTAAAATATTTTTAAGTTAATATATTTATAATATATCATTACTTTTTATTAAATGATAATAGACAGAAGGATAGCATTAGCAGTAGGACCCTTCTCCTTGGTACTGCAGAAGTAATATTTTTTATTGGGACCTGATTTTTTTTAGTAAAATTATAAATGTTTCGATTTTGTTAACAATGCCTTACAGTTTGGATTTTTTGTTACAATTTATTTCCCTAGTAGATTTATTTATTTATTTTAGGGAGAGAAATGATGTCAGCATTACCCTACGCACTCAGAGGTGAAAATAATTGCTCATGAAAAAGGTTGCATTAAAGCTGAGCCTGAATTCTGCTCATGTTCTATCAAAATCCTCATCATGGGATTGATTTAGTTAATTTGATTCTTAGCTGTATTTATCGAAATAGCGTACTCAGATTGTGAAATCATATTAAAACATCTAACACTCATCGTTAGGCACTAGCAATGTATTTCCATACCTCAGGTCTCTGAAAAATGAACACTTCCCATTTTCACCCATTATTTACGCTCTACACTTGGCTATTGCATAGCAATTCTGATTACCAATGTTCACCCATTATCAATATTAAATAATACAAAAACGATGATAACAAAGTTAAAACAATAATAAAATAAAGAATACCATGATTTAGTATAAAAAAATCTTTTCAAAAAAATAAAACTACGACTAAAAGATGAGAAAATTCACAAAGTTAAAAAAGAGTGTTAGAAAATTTGCGTCTAAGCGTGATTTAGAATTTAATCAATTTACATCTAAACTCCATTATCTAGTATCTAATTATAGGGATAAATTTATTGTTTACAAAGAAAACTTACATAGAAAGAAATCTACTCAAACTGAGTTTCTTATTTTTCATCTGTGAGTGAAGGAAAAGGTAGAGTTTTACACGAATTAAACTTCTTTGCCTGCCGCAACAAATCTCCATTTTAACATCTATTTCATGTGAGTTTGTTCATAATCATCTCGGGCCAAGTCAAAAAAGAATTTGGGTCACACAACTCTAATAATCTCCACCTTGATACAAATTTACTTCAAACAAGTTCTCCCCTTATTCCACAAAATCCCTTTAAAGATGTATTCTTCAACAATGAACGCTTACCAAGTTCAAACAATTTTCAAATTTGGTTGTAGGAGGTGACTTAATCATCATATCTACCGAATTACCATGAGTGTTAATTTGGCTCACAACAATGTCGCCTCGAGCAATAACAATGCGTAAACATTGATATCGAATATCAATGTACTTTGTCTTCTCATGAAATATTTGATCATTTATAAGGAAGTTGTAACTCTGACTAGCAAAAAGTAATGTATTGATTTAAAGGTGTTTATTAAGTTCACCAGAGAGTCTATTTAACCAAAATGCTTCTTTACAAGCATCAGTAATTGTCATGTATTTAGATTCTGTAGTTGAAGAGAAACTGTATTCTGTAAAGTGACTTTCCAACTGTAGTACCTATTTTTTTAGGTCCCACTCATGAGCTCAAATAAAATGAAAACTAATTTACTGGCCTTACGGATTTTTCTTTCACCTGTCCTTTATTTTCATGCCCTTTTATTTGGCCCATTTTTTAATATTCAAACACTTGAATAAAAAACTATTTTATTTATTTATTAAAGTCTATTTTACAATGCATTACAAACTAGGGCTCAAATTGCAAAAGATCCCATAAACAAGATCAAACCTAAACAAAAACTTAAAATCTTTAACTCACATACTCATTCACAAGCCGACCTAATGACCCAAGATACTATTCAAACAAAGGAAACCCTAAGGAGACTAAGCCTTTAGTCGTCGTCCTTCTAGATTCTTCTAAGCGTGATGGCTACCAGCTGAGTGTGATTGCCATCCAACTTATTACACACGCTATGGGAGGATTTTGGGAGAAAATGAGAGAACTCTAGTTGTGTTTAGATCAAGAGAATGAAAGAAATGAAAAAGAAGTTACAAAAATGATTTTAGGAAGTTGGAAAGGATGAATGAATCTAACTTAAATTCAAGGAGAAAGTGGATCAAGGTTCAAGGAAAATGAAGGAGTTTCAAGTCTTGGTACAATTGCTTTATAGATTTTGATATTTTTATCCCTTTACAATTTAGTCACTAAAATCACAACTTTTAAATAATTCAATTTAGTCACTCTTATAAATCATTTTATAGTATTAAAAATGGAAACTTAAATAATTACAAAAAAGATACTAAGATTTAAAATATTAAAAAACATTTCCTGGAGGGTCTTGAGATTTGCGACATGTTTATTTCGTGGGGGAAGCTTTTCTTTCTAACTATGGAAAATGGGGTTCAAGTTTTTTTGTCCTTTCCTTTCTCCTATGTTGAAATATTTGTCTTGTCCCGATTGGATTCATTGTTTAAGAAATGCGTTTCAGACATTTAGTTTCAGTGCATGAACGAAGATTCAATCATGCGGTGTTTACTTTGTTTACGTCACAGGCAAAGATTGACCACGTGATAAACGTGGCATTTCTGAATGTAGCCACGTGACTACTAACATCAGAAATATCGAATATATTCAAAGTGTTAGCAAAATGCTGCTAGTCAACCCTTCATTACCTTCACTTGCTCGGATCCATGAATCAACTACATTCATCACGTTCAATGAATCTACCAAACAAACACACATTTAATTTTGTGTATTATCAAGCGTTTTTTTTAATAATTTAGAGTAATTATAATATAATACATGTTCATAAATTTTTAATCATAATACATATATATTATGTTAATGCAACTACTCAAACCTACCTCAAGAAAAATAACATTTTCTTTAACTATGGAAGTTATTCAATAAATTCAATTATGAGACGCTTCTCAAACATGCTTTAATCTTATATGCATTGTATGCTATATTCTTGCTATATTCTTTTATTTAAAATTTTTCAGTAATATGTTTTTATTTTTATATAAGTACGGTGAAGTAAACTTATTTAAAACAATATATAATTATGAACATAATTTAAATAACTTAATTATTTTCATATTTTCTAAAATAAAAATTGCTAATCATAATTTAAAATAGGTTTAATGCAAAAACAAGTGTCCAAACTATATTCAAAGTTAACTTTAGGTGCATAAAGATATTTTTTTGTTAAAAATAGGTGTCTAATGTTTCCAACATTACACTTATAGGTGTTTACCGTTAAATTCGACCGTTAAGTGACATGTGTCAGACTTATAAAAATTTTATTATTTATTTTTAAAATTTTAGATGTCTGATACATGTCACTTAACGGTCGAATTTAACGGCATTTACAGTTCAAACACCTAAAAGTGTAACATTGGAGACGTTAGAGACCCATTTTTAACGAAAAATTCTTTAAGCACCTAAAATTAACTTTAAGTATAATTTAGGAATTTATTTACATTAAGCCTTTAAAATATATGTACAATATTAAAATAAATAAATTTAGGCTTGTATAACAAATTGAACTTTGACACGTTAACTGATAATCAAGTAAGTTTCCTAAGTGAAATGTTATCTTAATTAAGTCTTTATTTAAATATTTATGATTAGATAAGAATTTAAAACTTAATATAGAATAAATAATGACTATAAACATCGAATTTCATCCGAGTCGAAACTGCTATTTTCAAAATAATTTGATTGAGTCTAATAAATTGATGTCTATTTTAAATTGATATATATATATATATATATATCACTAATTTTATTCAAAATAAAAAATATCTTAAATTAAAATAAAAATTTACAATCATAATTGTAAATTAAACACATAATTATGACAAATTCCTATAATCATTGAAACAAAACTAGCAACTTAAGATCACATAAGGACCATACTATAAAAGATTAAAATCTAACCAAGAAAACTCGAACATGGATAGATACAAACAAATATGTTCGCATCGACAAACAAACCACAAAATGAGACCAAGCAACTGAAAGACCATTGATAAACTACAAATCAGACTCGAGCGACGTGTAAAACGGGTATCCAAATCCAATCCGAGGGCTCAAAGCAAGGAACATCGACAATATAACAGATAAATACCATATTGATCAGTTGTAGTGATGTCAAATCATCCCTTAGAAAAAGATAAGTGAAAACAACAACCAAACAACTAAAAACGTGCCAAAAGGCAGAAGAAAATGTGTCATAAAGACAGACTTATTGAAAATAAAAGAAACAAAAGAAAATAAATATGTAATATAAGAAAATAAAATGACAATAAAAAATATCGACGATCGACAACTAACATTAAATAATAAAACAAAAGAAAATAAAGATGTAATATAAGAAAATAAAAAGACAATAAAAAATACTGACGATCGACAATCAACATTAAAGTTAGTGTCGCCATCAATCAACAAAGACAAAAAGAAAAGGCGATGAACGACTACCAATTATAGAAAACTAAGAGAGAAAACTAAAGTCTATGTATTTTAACTTGGATTTTTAAATCAATTACAATATATA